TCCTTCCCTCCTCTGTGGAATTATCCTAAATCAGCATCCTGGAATCCTAAGTGGAAATGATGTTGTATGCAAGAGGGAGTCCGCCTTGACCCTCTATTTTAAGCTCTTTTCAGGAAAATATGTCTCATACATTGTTTTAACATATGCACCTGCTGAAAAGACCTCCACCAAAGATGATATGATCAATGAACTAAGGGAAACCTGCAAGGAATTAGAGGATGTGATCAAAGTGAGCTCAGCTAGGAAGCTAATCTTTGAAAAGATGAACAAGGACCTGCAAAAGGACAACAACCTTGATGATACAGTAAACTCTGAAGGTGAAGACTCCGATGAGGAAAGAAGTTCTGGTTCAACCAAGTCAATTGGTCTTGATGACAGTTAGACTACTTGATGTTTATCTGAACTCCTTGTTTCTTTTTTGGCACTTGCATGTGCTTGACATTTGAATTATATGATATGTACCCTAATACTAATGTTCTCCTGAATGCATACTTTCTTGGCATATTATGACTAAAAAGGAGGAGAGAAAGTGAGTGAGTGACTGACTAACCACTGACTGACCATTAATTGAGGGGGAGCCTCATGTCCCAGAAGATGTTTTGACATCCTCTTGTGCTAACAACTAACTGCTAACTGAATGTATGTTTTGATTGCCTTGCTTATGCTGCTGCCCTGATAATGCTCTGATAATTATGTTGCTGCTCTGATAATATGCTCTAATAATGTTTTAGCCAAAATTTTCCAAAGGGAGAGTTTGTAAGTGTTTGTTGGCAGCAATTTTGGTAAAACAATGACTTGTTAATATTTTGTTAAATGTCTTAACATTTGGATAAAACTGTTTTGAATGATATCAAAGCAGATGTCTTGACATCTTCCTACTGAACTGATCTCAGCCCAAAATCAGTTAAGTCTTTTGTTTCCTGTTTTCATGTGTGGCATAATTCAGGATTTATGATCTACAGGCTGCGAAAAATATGGAGGAGTATTTTTCAAATTGCATAATTTTATCTTGGCCTATTTTTATGGAAATATTCAAAAGATTTGAATATTTGTTTTTAAGCCCAAGCCCAAAGCTTCGCATATATAAGGACTTGCTTCCTTATTCAAATACAAGTAATTTTTGAAGAAGAACGCTTTCTTTTTTATTAGAAGTATAGGCTTTTTATTTGTAATACACTCTAAGTATTAGTTTAAGAACTTGAGTTGTTATTTGGGTTGTTAATTGTGTATCATTCATAAGTTTTTAAGCATTGAATGATTGAAGTGTTTCAAACTTATTAATTTTGTTAAGTTCTTCACTGTAAGTGATTGAATGAATTTGAGGATGGCCTCATACCTAGGTGAGTCTTAGGTAAAAGTTTAGTTTGAGTAGTGATTAAGTGATTAGATCGTAAACTGGTTGTTTACTGAGGGTCTATGAATTGATACTATTTAGTTAACTTGCCCCTGACTTGGTAGTCCCCAGAATAGATATTGTTGTACACTGAACTGGGTAAACAATCTCTTGTGTTTTTACCGCACCTTACTTGCAAACAAATATGTGTGTCGTGACATCTCATTCGACATTACATATCTGATACCAGAATTTCAGAGGTGTATGAGGGTAAGATGTTTGGTGTAGAATACCATTGGATGATATAAAAGTTTGAAATTGTTGGAATAAATATTCACGTGCATTGTCACTTCTTAAGGTACGAATGGACAAACCAAATTGGGTTCTTATTTCTCGATAAAATTATTCAAAAATAGAACAATTCAGATCTGTTTTTCATTAAAAATAGTCACGTGAAACATTAAAAATCATCAATAAATGTTACAAAATACATAGACTCAAAAGTAGCACGGTACACGATGGACTCCAAACATCATAGTGAAATAAAGCAAAAGGGGACACAACCCGTTTATTGACTCGATTGGGAAAGTGACTACGAGTATGTTTCCCTAATTGATAAGACTCACACTGTAAAGTGGATAATTTAGATAAATTGGGCACCAACTTTTGTAGCTTGGGAAGACTTGGATGACCTAACTGTGCATGTATAATGAGTGGAGAATTTATAGTGGAGCATGTGGTAGATGATATATAGAAGTAGTAGAGGCCTTGAGACTCACATCTGACGTCAGTCGTCAGTCCCAAACTTCGATCCTGTAGAATAACATCACTGTTAGTAAAAGTGATAGAACAATTAAGGGAACAAGTTAAATGACTGATTGATAGTAGATTAAATGGGAAATTAGATACATATAGGACAAACGTAACAAAGAGAGATGGTAGAATTTGAACAATATCGATCTCTTGGGATCGGGTTTGAGAACCATTTGCGGCAGTTATACTTGGTTAGAAACTAGAGGTAGAAAGGGAAGAGAAGAGTTTTTTATTACCGGTAACATGATCAGACGCACCAGATTCAAGGATCCAAGGACCAAGAGGAGATGATTGAGAGACGCAAACAAATGAATTACCAGTGTGTGCAATCGAAGTCGTGGAACCAGAGGTCTGGTTAGTCTGACACCACTTGAGAAAATCCTCGTAGCTTGGCGTAGGGTTCTGAAGAGAAGGTGACGTCCGCATAGTGTCTGGGTTATCAATTTGAGTTGCATTTATCTTCCGTGGAGGTTTGCCATGAAACTTTCAGCAACGATCGATAGTATGTCCAAGCTGGTTACAATGGCCACACTTAGGACGAGGTTTGGAGTAGGATGACCCTCCTCGGAGGCGATTCTGATTGTTGCCAAGAGATGCAAGAGCAGCAGTGTCACCTGGTGTTAGAATAACAATAGATGGAGGAGAAACCGGGCCAAACGCATGAGGTGTAGTCAAGCGCAACAATTGTTCACTAACTGTATCATAGTTAGGAACAGTAGTACCTGATAAAATCTGGTTACGAACAGATTCGAGTTCTGATGGTAGTCCTTTAAGTGCCATGACCATGAAATATTTACTTTGTTGTTCGACATGAGCTATTGCATCTTTTGCATAAGGCATGAGGGTTGCGTAACTTGCTTTCAAGGCATCAAGCTTACTCAGATAAGCTTGCACATCCATATTTTCCAACTTCAATGTGTTGAGTTTGTGGATGACATTGTATAGAGAATGAACGTTGTTGGAAAAGACTTTCTTGGCCTTTTGCCACACCTCATAACAAGTGGAGAATGCTTGGTACTGCGTTTGGAGGTTAGGTGCTATGAAAAACCATAACACAATACACAAAGAGGCATCAATTTTCTTCCATTTAGCGGGTTTGACGGCTGCAACGTCACTCAATTGGGTGGTTAGATGCTCTTCATATCCTTGACCGTGAAACCACATCTCGACAGCACGAGCCCATATGTTATAGTTGGCTGATCCGGTTAGTTTTTCACATGGGATAAGCGGAACTTTAGTAAACGAGACATAATCAACATCTCCCATGTCTTAAAACACAACAACTGGGGCTGTTTGAACAAGAGTACGATTTTCTGTGAGTCGAAAACGAAAACCGAGGGCGGATCTGGAACTAGAGGAGGAAGGCGATTTTCCGGTAAAAATTTTTTTTCGTGAACAATAGCGGCGGCAGTGAACAGTGACGACGGCGGTAAACAGTAGTCCCCCGAAATTTTTTTCCCCATGGGCTGTGTTTGACAGAGGTCGCTGGAAAAAAAAGGTGAGGCAAACCGGAATGATGACACAGTTTGCAGAAGAAAATTTCTCACGACGGAGAATTTCCTCTTAGAATGCTCTAGATACCATATTGAATTAGGAGAGACTAAGAGACATTTAGGTTAAACCGTGTGTTTTGAAAGCACTACGGAGACTTTATTACATATAAAAAGATTACAACTAATTACACGATATAATCGATGTGAGACTATTCTACGTATAAATATTCTTAATATTATATATTTACAAATATTAACACAAGATAATCCTACGTCAACTTAAAGGAACCAACCATCGTGATCTTCTTGTCAAGACAATCCCACTTTTTTCCTAGAAGGTCTACTTCATGGGATTGTGTATTTCTAGGGCCTAACTTGGTAAATTGGTGGCTAAGAAACGACCGGTTATTTATAAATCCAGCAGAAAAGTAGATTATTGCAGCCTAGCCTTAGCCACCTCGGAACTTCTTTTGATGCAACATTTTCTCTTTGAGTTAAAAATAAAGTTCAAAACACCTCGAATCCACTGTGACAATATGAGAAATTGTACTTATTTTTTGTCAGAGGAAATACTTCAAAAACAACTTCAAATGATGCATATCTCTGGTCTTTAACACTGTTAATGTTAATGAATCCAGGCTTAGTGTGTGTGGTACCGCTCCTAATTGAGCTTTTGGGGTCATATTAAGAGATAGATTAGTGGAATGTTCACTGCAACGTGCATCCGCCCTCACACACAAGATTTCTCCTCTAAACAAATTATTTTCACACTATAATTGAATCTGGTGTGATGCAGTTAACTATATTCAGTTATAACTAATTGACTCACACATGCCAGTCAGTAAGTTGGCTATAACCAATAACTTCTTATTCTCTAGTTTCTTTATAAATAAGATATGCACCTATGTAATAATTAACTGAATCCACTCAATCATAAGTAGAAGCTAAGATTCAGCTTTCAGTTCATATTTTCCTTACATTTCAGCATTTATGAAAAACTTCAAATTCAAATTACATCTTTATAATAATCAGGAATGAGGAAAGAGTTTCTTTTAAGACCTTGAGTTCAAATTCTACATGTGCAGATAAATAACAGAAAGATAAGAAAGCAATAAAAATAAACTCATTGCTTAAAGATTCTGTACTACAAAAAAAAAGAGGTATCTGGTGTTACAAAACTATTAAGAATATATTGATTCGCCTATTGTTAACATTCTGAAAACAACTCAAGTTTCAACATAATCATTGGTTGCTGTAGTAGTGACCTTGCAAAATTAACCTTCCAAAACTGAAGCGCGACAAGGGCAATGTGTAACAATGGTGAGGGTGAAAATAGAAACTTGTTGGCGATAGTCAGTCACTCACTCGAGCTTAGTTGTATGTTTGGAGTGAGTATACTCAAAAGCTTTGAAAACAGAAGAATATTTATGTTGACGAATAATCACGACAAGGATGAATATGTTGGCAGCAAGAAACATTAAGCCTGCCACCCAAAGCTGTAAGAAGACATTTTTACCCTTGAACTCGAGAAGGTAGCCCCACATTAACCAATGAGTCTGAGCTCCAATCCACAGAAGAATGCAAGACAATCCACCCCATTTTAGCTTCATTTTACTCCATGGGAGTATTAGAGGCAACAAGCTAAAGAACCAAACAAAGTACTGTGCAGTAATCACCTGCAAAAAACGCAGAAATCAGATGTGTAGTCCAAGGGATTAAATAGCTATTTTGGTGGAGGGATTAAATCGATAGAGATATTGGTAATTAAATAAAAATAATAATAAGTAGCAATATCATAAATTTCAGCATATGTTATTCAGTATTACTTAACAAACCTTATTGAAGGCAACAAATGATACAGTCTGCACAAATAGGCAAAATGGCAAATCCTTTGCAAAGCTGAAAATAAGAACAAGCTGAACCAAAAACTGTGGTAAAAAGGAGACAAGCTTTTCCACCACCGAAATATCGTGCCCATAATGAAGATATATGTGATAGAAATAGATTGAGAAGTTATGCCTTGGATCGGTACGAGTAAGATGGTACAGTAGTGCCTCGTGTAAAAATTCCCAACCATATAAGCAGAAGAACAGACCAGTACAAAAGAGGAAAACTGAACCTGAAACCAGTCCAAATATCACCCTGTTCCATGTGAATATGCTTTTCAATAAATTAAGTGGGGTGAACCAGCCATTCGGGTCTTCGGGTCTCTCTTTCTGAACAGCACTCCAATTCCTTAGGACGGGTTTCTGGCCAGATGGGAAGAAGTTCGGATCAAGAACCAGGATTATAGGAATAGAATAAATTATAGGATAAATCCTGAAATGGACAACAAGTCCATACCAAATTGCTGACTGTAACACATTACCTGCAAATCAGGGGGAACAAGAAGGAAAATGGGACAGAAAAAAAGAGAATACCAGCAAAGCAACAAGATATACACAAATATCTAATATTTTACATCTTTTAAGAAAGCTGAATATTGTCTACTTATTGTTAAGGGCAACAACAGTACCATCATGAAACAAAGGCTATCAAATGAGTCTCCTATATTATACTATGTTTTTTGAGTTTTGAAATACTTGGTAGGGCAAAAAATGGGTAATAAATGAAAACATTTCTGTTTTCAGTCGTGAATGCTTGGTAAAAAATACTGAAAAATTATTTTGGATATTTTACAGAATGAAAAATCTATTTTTGGATAGTGTTCACATTGGAATGTTGGGGACTGTTTTGCAGAAAAGATTACCACCAATTTTTCACAAGTACTAGTATATTTTAAGGACATAGAAAAGACTAAATATTACAATATGAGAATTTCAACATTACGATTACAAGTAAACAACACCAAAAATGTATTCTAATACAGATGGCAGAACCATACCTTTCATAAGACAGACAATAATCCACAATATCATGGCAGAAACAATGGGTTCACAGTTCCCGCGTGTCCCAATGGTGAACGTAAATGGATTAAAAAGCCATGCCATGACAGAGTAGTTGCAGAGGTTTTCAGGAACCTTCTGCAGCTTTAGAATGTAATAGATAAAATATCCCACAAGTATATCTGCATTTAAGAATCGAGAAACATTTGCTTAGGTGTAATAATGAATGGAATGTCATTCAGCATAGACATATTATATTCATTGTCTAACAACACGTTAATTTAAATGTATTACAACCAAGCGCTTTGGGCCAAGAGTCTTGGCCAGTGATTGTAAGGTCAGCCCTAGGACACTCTGGGGACAACATGATGCTCTAAGGTTTGACTTGCAATGGTATCAAAAAAATGTTTGGTCATCAACAGAGACAGGTGATTAGTCCTTGGTTGAAAGCATTACGATACATTGGATCTTAGATAAAAAAAGAAAGAAAAAACACATATTGCAAAGGGACAAAATGGACCCTAAAATCACCCGAGAACGGAAATTTCTTAAAATTCAGACTCTCACCTACAACATTTTTGAATTTTGTAACTTTTACTAGAAGATGGAGCAATTTTTTTCTCCTTTTTCTTTATTTTGGTTTTGATAGAAAGAACATTCTAATACCAAAAAGAACTATATAAGACCAAATTGATTGGAATAAAAAATATACAAGGATTTGCCTCAACTAAAATGCAGACTACACTTTCCCTCAACTAAAATGCAGACTACACTTTCGTGAAGTATAGTTATGACTAGATATCATCTAACGAGGTCCCGGTAAAATAGAGGACATCAACGATCCCAAACAAATAAACTGTTAAACTGGACTCAAATCCGAATCTTCTCCAACTGATCTTCGGCATTTCTATCTCTCTCCGAATTCCTCTCTTCCTCTCTAACATGTAACCTCTCTATCTCTCTCCTAACTCCCGATCCCTGGTTATAGCTCCACACCTTTATCTCTCTCAAAAGTACATCCCTCACCTAGGAGAAGCAAAATTCTATATAAAAAGATACAAATAATCACTTCCACACACAAAAAAAAAAACATTTAACCTCTCTCTTTCTCTTATAATCTTCTATACATAATGTAAGTAAAGTTTCGTCAAAGTTTGTTCGAGTAAAGATTCGAACTTGAGCTCCCAAACAATCACTAAACTTCCACGATTGGTGCATGTTATAAACATAAATGAATTTATTTATGCAGGTGGTTCCTGGATGCAACATGGCTGGCGTGGTGATAGGAAAAGGTATTAATGTCAAAAAATTTGATATAGGTGATGAAGTCTATTGAAACATACAAGATTTCAATAATACTATTGAAAAACAAAAGCAACTCGGAACATTGGAAGAATATAGCATCACTACAAAGTTAGAATATTGATCGAAACCGAGAAGTTGTATCCTTAGGGATAATGAACATTTTAGGATCATTGATTTGTTCTAATCGGTAAAACTAACAATAAATTGAAATGTGCATAGAAAGAAGATCTGAGAAGAGTATAGATACCTGCAGAAGAGAAGAGAAACTTTCCCCAGGAGCGATGAAGTAGTGAATTAGGAACAAGAAGAAAAGCGAGTAGAGGTGAATAACGGTAGGTGGTTCTGTTGTAAGGAGAAGAACCAGAAGCGACTAGTGAAGCGGCGTCGGAAAACACGATGTAATCGACGTCGGTGTATCGAACTTCCATGTGAGAATCTTGCCATTCTCCGTATAGGATTAGAATTACGCGGAAAATTGCCGAGAATCTCAGAAGGGAACGGATATCTAACCATGCCATTGCTTAGATTCAACCTGCTGATTAGGGATTCTTTTTTTACACTTCTCGTATGTTTATTGCCATGTGAAAGAGTAGGACAAGTGTGAGAAAAATTCAGCATCTTCCACTTCTTTTAAAGATATATCATACAAAATTTCATCACATAAATATATATATATATATATAAAGAGATTATTTTTTTTAATTTTTTAGAAGATGAAATGATAGAGTATAATAAACTAATAATATTTAAGTAATTTTTATAATTTATTAACGAAAATAGATATTTGTGGGCACAAGTAACATTAAACATGTATCTATATCTATTAATAAACGAGTATTTAAATATCTATTTATTTTATCTATAAATATTTATTAAACTATCCGTCCTTTATCTGAGACAGATTTCATCCGTGGGTACAAATATTTTTTCCATTCCTAGATGCGTCACACGTACCTTGATTTCCAGAAGTTAATTGTCCAATTCTTAAAAAAGTGTATAAACATAAGTTATGAAACTTCAATTTTCAAAAAAAATGCAAAAGGAGATTACATTTTTGAATGATGCCTCAGAACAATCTCATCATTGCCAATGCAAAATACAGATTTTCAAGTTTCAGTTGTCGAAGAAGCGACACTCGAATCTTCACCAAAATGATATGTCAAAGGTTCATCTTATGGTTCTTCAAGCTCCATATGTAAAAGCATAAAGTTAGAGTTGGAAAACATATTAAGTAAAAAAGACATTAAGAAAAGCTACTTACAACACTAGCAGTGCAGTCCTTCTTAATTTCATACATCTCCTTCACCTAATCACCCTCACAAACTACCATTTCAACTCATGTCTTAGTTTTCATAGATGATTGTTTCAGATCAATAACCTTTTTTCCAACACTAAAAATTGTTTATGAAGCAACAGTAGTAACTGGAACAATTAAGATATTCTTTTCCAATTTACTAAGAGTATGATACTTTACTTCATTTCTCATCCACCATGTTAAAACATCAAAATTAGCTTTAGGGGAAACTTTCAAGGGAGGCTCATCAAGATATATTTCAAAATCAGAATTTGAATTACTATTATCCACAACAATTTCTAAAAACCTCTCGAAATTCCTCCTTCCCAACCTAGAACCAGTACTAGATCCTACTTTTGGAGTTTCAGATACAGGGGCATCTGAATCATTGGTTCCATAAGTATCTTGATACAATTGGAAGATGGAGTTTAAGTTGGTTGATAACTCTTGTTGATAGGCACTTACTTGAGTAGGATTTGGATACAAGAACTGATATACCCATTTGATGAAGATCATCTTATATCTATTTGATCAAGTATAATATAAGACAACATCATTCACAAGGCAACATGATTGGCCTCGAAATTTAATTTTATCATAGGCACAATTGAATTATAAGGAAACATAATTCACAAGGCAACATGATTGGCCTTGAAATTTAATTTTATCATAGGCACAATTGAATTATAAAGAAACATAATTCACAAGGCAACAGAATTGGCCTCAAAATTTAATATCATCATAGGCACAATTAAATCACAACTTCACAAGGCAACATAATTCACAAGGTAACAAAATTAGCCTCATATTTTGATTTCATCATAGACACATAATTCATAAGGCAAGAGAATTGGCCTCAAATACAATTCACAAAGAGGTAATAAAATTGGCCTCGGATACAATTTACAAGGCAACATTATTCATAAGGTAACACAATTCATCATAGGCAAAATTGAATCATAAGGCAACATAATTTATCATAGGCACAATTGAATCATAAGGCAATATAATTCACAAGGCAGCAAAATTAGCCTCAGATACAATTTACAAGGCAACATATTGATCATAGGCATATCAAGCAGACAACTAGCTACCTAAGGTAAAATGTCACAAAATACAATGGCAACATGATTGAATCTACTTGTACATACCTTGGCACCAATAGAAATCAATGTATTAGACTCTGATCAATAATTTTCATATTTTAACTTCATTTCATTAGCAAGAACTTGCAATTGAGGATTATGTGAGATGCTTGAAAGTTTATCAAGTAGAACCTTCACCCTGTAAAGCAAACCAAGAACAAATTAGAAGTAGAGTAAGATGTGCCACTTATAATTGCTATAACATCAGCAAAAACCTCCAAAAATTTGCAAATATCATGAACATCTTCCCAATCATTGCCCTCAGGAAAAAAGTTAAGAAATGCACCATTTTCCTCAGCATATCTAGGCCACACTTCTCTGTAGTGGTATGTCGTGGACAACATCAACCAAGCTGACTTCCACTTTGTCTTAATATCCAACACTTGCATTATGCCTTCAAGTAGCAACTCATCAATAATTTTTTTGAAAGCTTTGCATCTAGTTTCAGAATTGAGCAAGTATTTCACACCATTTCTATTAGGTCTGTGATTTTATGATTAGAATTTTTTTTGGTAAAACATGTATCACAGCCAAATGTTGAGCAAGATGTTGCAACATCTTGAACAATTGTTATAATAGGTGTTGCTGCCTCCAGATGTTGAGCAAGATGTCATGACATCTTGAACAACTATTACAATAGGTTTTGTTGTTACTTTCTTGACAAATTTGATTTAATTTTGTGAGACTCTCTTGGATACATCTCACTTATTTGCACAGATCAAGAAGAATTTATTTGGAACGATTGATTTTATCTCCAACTGTACATTAATTTCTAAAATTGGATGTTGAGACAATTTAGGAAACTTATGATGTTTTGTTCCAAGATACAAGGAGATTTTTCTGCATAATTGGTGCATCACTCAGCTTGTGGATCAACAATAAATTGGGTGAAGATTTCGAAACTCATGGACTCCTAAGGAGTTTATAAAAGAAAAACATAAACTTAATGTTATTAAGAACTTAAGAAAAAATAAGGGGAACTTGGTTTTTCAAGAGTCTGAGGGTTTGAGAGTTTTTCAAGTGTGTGTGTGTATGTTTATATGTCACTCATGTACCATGTTGATACATAGATTTTGACTAATTGTTCATTGTTCATTGTCAATCACTCATAAGCTTTATAGAAAATAATGGATTGTGTGTAATTGGAAGTGTGTTCTTATATTTTGGTCTTTTGTTATTGTCACTGAGGTGACTGTGGGAAATGAGAGGGGTTCTCATATCTAGGAGGTTCCTAGGTAGAAGTTGCATAAGATAGTGATTAGGTGATAAGTTGTAAACTAGGGTTGTTTAGCTTTAAACTAATATTATCATAATGGATTTCTTTATTGGCTTGGATTCCCCCAGAGTAGGTGATGTTGCACTGAACTGGGTTAACATTTGACTGTGTTATTTATCTTCAGCAATTTAATTTTTGTGTAATTTATAAGTTTTACAAATTGTTGTATCAACAGATGATGTCTTAACATTTTTCCTGACATTGTGTTTTCGTGTTGTGACATTTGTTTTAACATTTATTTGAAAGTGTTAGAATTTCAATTGGCATCAGAGCATGCACCATGTTTTGTTTTTGGGTGAGCTCCAGGGAGAATATTTTATGGCACTGTGGATAAGAAAGGAGGATACAATAATATACCACCTCTGTTAGATGGTGAAAATTATGACTATTGGAAGGTTAGGATGGTAGTTTTTCTAAAATCCATGGAAGCAAATCTTGGAAAGCTGTTTTGAAAGGATGGAATCATCCTGTTGTGAAGGACAAAGATGGGAATGATTCTTTGAAGTCGGAAGAAGACTGGTCTAAAGAGGAAGATGAATTATCTCTTGGAAATTCCAAGGCTTTAAATTCTCTATTCAATGGAATAGACAAGAATGTTTTCAGGTTAATAAATCCATGTACTGTAGCTAAAGATGCTTGGGAAATCCTTAAGATAACTCATGAAGGCGCATCCAAATTGAAGATGCCCAGACTTCAACTTCTCACTATCAGATTTGAGAATCTAAAGATGAATGATGATAAAAGCATTAAGGACTTCCACACGAATGTTCTTGAAATAGAAAATGCATCTAGTGCCTTGGGAGAGAAGATGCCATAAGAAAAAGCTTGTTAGAAAGATTCTCAGGTCTCTATCTAAGAGATTTGACATGGAGGTAACAACCATTGAATAAGCTCATGACAACAACATCATGAGAGTTGATGAATTTGTTGGGTCACTTCAAACTTTTGAATTGGCTATTAGTGACAAGTCTGAGAAAAAGAACAAGAGCATAGCTTTTGTATTCAATGCTGGAGGTGAAGAGGGTCGGGATGATTTAGATACTGAGGAAGGATTGTCAAATACCATTGTGTTACTTGGGAAGCAATTTGATAGAATATTGAAGAGAATGAACATGAGGGTAATACCATGTGTCAAGAACATCTCATCTGACATCATCAATAACTATGATTCTCATAATAAAACCAGAACTGAAGATAAGTCTAATCAAAGAAAAGACATTCAATGTTTTGAGTGTGAGGATTTGGTCATATTATACCAGAATGTCCCACCTTCCTCGAGAAACATAAAAGGGGTTTTACTGTATCTTGATCTGATGATGAGTCAGAAGATGAACCTAACACTGAGATTTTCAAACTTGTGATTAATCTCACTGGCAGATGGGCAGATGAAGTAGAATCTTGTGATGAAAATGTCCTATATGAAGACCTGGATGTGTCCTACAAGAAAACTTGTGACAAGTGTGAAGAAAGTCTTAAGATAGAAGAAAATCAGAGAAAGATCGTATCTGAATTGGAGAATAAGAAGAAGGAACTTCTATGTATTGTTTCTCATCTACAAAATAAGGTAAATCTTTTAAATTCCAAGCTTAAAAACATATTCTTTGAGAAGGATGGAAAATAAAGCTGATATGATGAAATATGTTGAAGATACATTAGTTAATTATCCACCTGATAATCAACAAAATAAAAGATCTATAGAAAAGTTTTTTCCTAATGAAAATAAGAAAATGATCACCATGTTCACCCACATGTTACAACATCCTGGCAGACAGGATGTACCTTCAACTAAATTCCAATCCTCAA